TATTGTAGTAACAGTATGAAAGATGAACAGTACCACCCTATAGGTGCTGCAACCATTGCAAAGAATCGTTTATTTAGTCAATTCCATGCTCAATATCCTGATCATGAAAGAGAACGTATTGTAAAAAGTTTAGTGCAAGGTGTATCAATAATCCAGGTATTGTTTGTTACAGTAGCATTCGGAATTGGTATTGATATTAAAGATATAAGACAAGTAATTCATATTGGAGTACCATATACAATGGAAGAATATTATCAGGAAGCTGGACGGTGTGGTCGTGATGGACAACCCTCAAAAGCAATTGTGTATTTCAATTCATATGACATCTCTAAAGGAAGGAAACATTTGACAGATACCATGAGGAATTATGTTCAACAAAAGAACTGCAAGAGAAAGTTTATTCTCAATTACTTTGGGCACAAAATTCCAGAAAGAGATTTACCAGAACACACCTGCTGTGATAGTCATCAATGCACATGTGATGATTGTTTGTTATCAGATGTTGCAATGCTTCTTGTGGATCCTGAAGATTCTAATGATGCAACATGTAATAGTAGCACCCATTTAGAGGACATGTCTGTGCACAGAGTTTTAAATGAGCAAGAAATTAGTATAATTAGAAAACAATTGGAACAATATAGATTAACTCTTCATGGTCAAGGTAGATCCTGTGTTGGTGGCATCACATTGGCTACAGGTTTCAGTTTTGAACTTATTGACAATGTTATAGAGCAAGCAGCTACCTTAAAATCTGTGGAAGATGTTATGTTGAGATTGCCAGTGTTTAGTCGTACACATGCTGAAGCAATTTTTGATATTGCTTCTCAGTTCTAATATTACACTAATGCACATAGGATTTATGATTATTTGTAATTATATAGGTTAAAAAAGGTTTTGTTATTGATATGACATAGGCTATATAATGCTGATCATATTTGAAACGATAATTCCTTTTTGAAGTTCCAACACAGATTTCCTTTTACAAATTCTGAATAAATAGGTATGTGAGTTATCTAAAGTTGTGAATTTGCTATAAAAAGCCTTGAAACGTTAGCCAAATTTATCTGTAAGTTCAGAATTTGTGTCTGAGTGTGATGGTGTTACTACCCCACTGTATTTCTATGCATGAAAGAGCTACCTCAACACATCAGCCATTAGTATAAGTAAGTTAAAGCACACATGCAGACCACATGTCCTTGTGTGCAGATATTGATTGACCTTGTCTCTTATTTACTGATAAATTTTGCTGTTTCAGGTCTGCTAGCTTATTGTGTGAAATGTGTGCCAATAGATCTTGCTTGGCATTGAATATATCAAATTATTATTTGAACATAATTATTAATACTATTAATGTTAATAACACAACGTTCTATTTCTGGAATTTGCATAAACACATGGGCTATTTGCTCTGGTTTTCCTTTCATTATTTCGCTTTTGAGTTTCATCTTTTATTGAGATGTAAGGTTCGGTATTTCAGTGTTGCTTGCCAATATCTATTATGGAAAATATAGATTTTGTAAATACATTGTCATCATTGACATTGACATTGTAAATAAATACCGCGTGTGACTCAATATATCCAAAATTTACGAACTTTACAAAGCTATATATATATTTTATTCATTTTACAACATTTAGCAACCTTTGCAATTTTACTCATTTTATGACGCTTTTTCTAGCTGTGGTGTTGGATTTCGTTCTTCTTGCTTTATCAAAATTTAGTATATATTATAGCTGGAATCACCCATTGGCATTGAAATTATGTCAATTTATTACAATCATATCAATTGTTCTTGAAAAATTTCACAAGACTGATTAAGTAGCTTTTCGCACTTTTATTCAAGTCGCTTAAAAATACCAGTCTCACTATACAAGTTGGAAAGTCATAAGACAGTATCAACGGAACAATCAATATAGAGTCTTATCGACACGCCACTGCTCACTGTATCTATCTTATTGCATTTGATTGTTTGTTTACACACAACACTCTGTTTAATATAATAATTACTATAAGTTAACACTTGCAGATTACGCCATGTATAAATAATTCCACACTGTGTGTAATATTCTGTAGGCGATGCAATGATAATTAGTTTTTATAATTTTTATTTCTCTTTATTTTCCAATCCAGAACAAGATAAAATATGTAAACCCTCTTTGTTCTTTGGGTTTTCCCCTGTAGGGTTTTGAAACTCTGGTGGCAGTACTCGACTACATGTGTAGGGCATTATCTCCATAGCCATAGGCTCACTAATTGTTGAAGAAAGACTTTCTGTTGAAGACAGAGGTTTGGGAGCAATTTTAACAAGGTTTTGGTGAAGAGACGTCACATTCTTGCAGACGAATGGCGCGCTTTTTTACTTACTTGCATGACCGAAGGTGGAGAAGAACTGGCGGTGTCTGGCTCGTTGTCTTTAAGACATTGTTTAAATCGTTCGTCCTTAAATTCTGTTCTGACTCTCTGCATTTTTCTTAAATTCCTCCGCTTTTGTTGACATATTTTTTAGTTTCATACAACACGATCTGCAGATGTGTTTTGGCAATCCATCGCTGTCCAAAATTTCTATTCCTCCAAAATGTTTGATTAAATCAAGTATTCCCTCTGCCTCAGACTTACAGCCAAAAATGCAAATTCGGTCATACACTTCGTCCATTTTTTTTGGGCAACACCTGCATAATTCTCTGAAAATACATAACTCGGAAAATACACAGGAAGTAATACATGCTAGCAAAAAATTGCTCAACTTCCGGTAATTAGCGGGTTCTCTGAGAAGCCAACAGATCCTTCCATTTGGTCGTGTAAACCAGAGCCTAATTTTCAACGAGTGACCAAGTGAAAATGGCTCTGGGGACGAGAATGATGATGAGTCGCATTGAAAAACACTTCTAATTTTGTTGCCAAGGTAACAATGTCGTTCCCAGGCCCCTTGCATCAATTTTATAAAACAGCTTTATCCATGGTACTTATAAGAATAAAATAATATCAGAAGTATGTGTACCATACCTATGCATGCCAAAAGTTCACTTGCATGATAATAATTCGAAAATGACACATAGGATAAATGCAACTAGTTATTTAAAATCAGTGTAAGGGGCCTGGGAACGACCGTGTTGCCTTGACAACAAAATTAGAAGTATTTTCCCATGCGTCTCATCATGTACTATCTGTATGCAAAATTTCATTTGAGCCAATAATCACTGAGCTATGCTTCAGTTTACTATTCAATAAACATACTTACCCAACCAATGACGTCACACATTGTGCTGAATCAGCAATTTATATTTTGCATATTTTTGCGTATAACTTCGGAACCAGATGAGATAGAATAGAGCAGTAAACGGCCAATCGCATTATTTTTTCATGCTCTTTCAGATAAAAGCAATAACAAATTTTATTGCCAATACCCTTTAACTTTGAATTTAAGAAAAGCTCGATTTACATTAAACAATGGCCAGTCTTGTAATTGTGTGAAAACAAAGATCTTAACATCAAGGCAGGTGAATTTTGCTGTACAAGTCATTGCATGATAAAGGTGGGCAATGATAATCAGTGGACGGTTCCGGCAATTCTAAAATCGAGAAAATTCTGAAAGTTGAAAGTTAAATTTGCAGCAAATCTATCTTTCAACTCACATATTTCTTATCGATAACACAAAATTGCATATCCTTTTTGATGTCATAAATTATTTTTGAAAAATGTCTAAAAGCCCTACCTTATTTCTCATAAAAGAGTACCCTTTTTTGAGATTTGTGTGATAAGGGAATTGGTTCGTTTTAATTACCCTTTTATGTCAATCCAAGTTTCAATTTAAAGGTGAAAAAGCAGATTATCTAACGAATTTATACAAATCAAATCTCCATAAAAATAACTGAAAAGGGTACGATTATCGCTCAACTGCATCGTTTTGTAAAATGGGTACCCTTTTCTGTCAACCATGTTGTTTTGTAATAAGACGAAACAGAGTACCCTTTTCGGTCAACTATGTTCTTTACGTAGTAATATGAAAAAGGGTACCCTTTTCTGTAAAATATGATCCTTTATAATAAGACGAAAAAGGGTACCCTTTTTTATTTAATCTGTTGATACTCAATCGGATTAAAAAAGGTCTGGAATTTTATCAACTGCGTTAACACGTTAACACACGTTAAAGCATAGCGTTTAATTTAAGTGTATACCAATTCAAAAAGCAGCATAATTTATCCGCTTATTGTTCAGTAAATCAAAATGGCGGAGTACTTGGAGCAAAATATCGAAGATGTTAAAAACTATGTTCAAAAGAATTACACTTATCGGCAGATTAGCGACATTTTCAAGCAGCATTTTCCTGGGGTTAGTCGAGGTTTCTCGGAGAGAAATATTCGGTTATTCTGTTCAAAGCATGGAATAAGGAAACTGGACAATTTTGAAGTGGACACCATTATTCAACAGTCTATCAGTGAGGTATTGTGTGCCGTAACTGATTATTTTCAATAGATATGTGTACGTTTAGCGTTGGTAATATTGTGAAGGCAAAAGAGTTTAATATTCATAATTAATTGAAATTGAGAAATGGTATATCTAGTGGTATATCGAGCTAACGCAATCCCAAAAGTTAAGCAAATCACCTCTGAAAATGACCTGCGGCCTATATCAATCTTGCCAGTACTGTCGAAAGTGTATGAACGCCTAATCTTTCGCCAGCTTTCCAAATTCATCGATGATAACAAATTACTGAGTAGTACCATCTCTGCATATCGAAAGGGCCAATCCACCACAACGGTCATGCAAGCCATACGAGATGACATCACGAAAGCAATGAGTCGTGGAGAAGTCACGATGATGATCTTCGCTGATTTCTCGAAAGCTTTTGATACGATCCGTTTTAAAAATCTCATCTCGAAAATGAGCAAACTGGGCTTCTGCAAGGATTTTCTTACATGGACACTAAATTATGTCTCGCATCGTAAACAGTACGTTCAGATTGATGATATTAGATCGAATACAACAAATGTTAATTTCGGCGTACCACAAGGATCGATATTGGGGCCGGTTTTATTTAATATATACGTTGCCGACCTTCAAGAAATTATCGACGCCAAAAGCCATCAATATGCTGACGACACAACAGTCTATGAGCATGCCAAGGTCAAACATATTCATAGATGTAGAGAAACCATATCTGATTCAATGAAAAAACTCAACGACTGGTCAAATAATAGCAGCCTTGCCTTAAACCATAAGAAGACGAAAGCAATGCTTTTCTCAACTCAACAAATGTCAAGAGTCCACCAATTGGAAAATTATGAACCTAGAATATTTGTCAATGAACACGAACTAGAGCGCATAAAGTCATGCAAGTTGCTTGGCGTTCATTTCAACGAACACCTAAAATGGGACAACCATATCCGTCACATAACATCTGCCTGCTACGCCACCTTGCAAATATTAAGGAAACTTAAACATCTAGCTTCTTATTACCTTAGAAAGCAGTTAGCTGAAACGCTAATATTATCCAAATTGGATTATGCTGATGGTGTTTTCTATCCACTCCCGCAGTTTCTATCAAGGTGCTTACAGAAAGTTCAATTTGCAACTGCTAGTTTTGTCTTGGGTCGATATGTTAAAGATCAAAAGGATATCCTGGAAGTTGGATGGCTTCCAGTTAACGAAAGAAGAGACCTCAACATCCTGAAATCGAGTTTCAAATCCATGTATTTCCCAGAGTGGCCAGAGTATCTAAAGCTAGAACGACAAACTTGCGTCCGAGAACTGCGCTCAACCAATGCAGTTAGACTAGTCATGCCAAAAGAAACTGGAACGTTTCAACATAGTGCTGCGAAACTTTTTAATTCCTTACCTGAGAACATCAGGAATTGTACTAATTACAAAGTATTTTTAAAATTAACCAAAGAACTTTTATTCGAAAGAGCACGCCAAAACTAGTTTTTAATCCGAACATCGATTTTATCTAATTTCAACACTTAAACGTTATAGTCCATAGTTATAGAATATAGTATTTAATTAGTATTTTAACAGGGAAGAGCCATATGTATGGATCTGTTGAATAAATCATTATTATTATTATTATTATTAACGCAACTAGTTATAATAATTATATATTATAATATAATATATATATTATATTATATTTGATATTATATTTGATATTTAACAAATACAAAACATTTTCCGTGTTGATATACAGTTATATCAACCGACAAGTGGAATTGGGAAAACGAGAAATTGTATGGAAACAAGACACCCGAAGGGCGGAGTGTTTTCATACAATTTCGAGTTTTCCTCTAAACTTCCACGAGTGTTGATATTACTATATATCAAAACGGACAAATAATTTTTTTTATAATATAGCAATGTCAAAAGCCCGAAGGACAATAAAAATTTCCGTGTTTACAAGCGGCGGAAAATTTCCCGTATTGACATTGAGTTATATCAACACGGCTCTTAGCCAATCAGTGTTCAGAATTTACAAATCTATATTATATATTATATTAGACGATCAGTCTCTATTATGATTATTCTCATGGTTGCCTGTGATCATTTGCGAAAACCCCATTTCATTGATATATGTGGGCTTTTAATTTGTACGTACAGCCGCAATATAATTGAGCAAACGTTTACGATAATATTGGGAAAATATCATTGTAGGTGGGAGCATCCTATGGTCGGAAAATGATGATTGGATATGTAAATAGCAAAGGGCATTGTCTCAGTCGTCGTCAAGTACGTGCATCGCTTCAACGTGTCAATCCATTAGATCACAACATAAGAAGAGATGATGTTGTTCGGAGACAAAATCCTGTGCCTTACAATGCACCTTACTATGGGAACAAGTTACATTGTGACCAGAATGAAAAATTGTGCATGGACGGTTGCACCCTTTATGCGTTCAGTGATGGGTGTAGTTCGAAAATTATAAGGATGTGTTGTATGCCTAAAACAAACACAACCATTGTGTACTCTTATTTCAGGTTAGTCATGCATCATGCATTCATTATGTATGCATATATATATATATATAGATATCACGTTATAACCTTTTGCTGACAGGGATATTTTGATACACAAAGGCATTTGGGATATGGTACGAGTGGATCATGGGACAGAGGCTTGCCTCATGCTGTTTGTTCAAGATTATTTGAAAAATTTTAGAGGGAATGTTACCTGTCAACCCTATGTTCAGACACGGTCTAGAGAGGTATGTACTGTATGTTTATTATACTGGTAAAATTGTACATCTATCCGAATCTGCAGATACGCATGTCTTGGCGTCCAATTCTAAACTTGATTTCACTAGTATTACTCTAGACATATTATGGACCTATATAGAATGCTAAATCTATACGACGTGAACGTGACGAAAAAACAATCGCAATTTTTGGAATCCAGTTTAAATTCTTTTTTGCGTATAGACTTTTAATTGTTTTCAAGCAGAGTCCATGCATAGCTAGTTGTAACTGTAAAAGGAGTGTTTTCCATCACTTCAGAGTCGCGCATTCGATAAGGAATTCAATCCATATATGACAAGCATATGTAATTTTAGCCTGCATGCGTAGCGGCGCTATAGGGGAGGGCTATATGCCTAGGGTGGGGGAGGCTTATATGTTGGGGCTTGGGGATCGCGAGAAAAAAATAGCAATACAAGCTTATACAGCGCCTGCTATGCAGGCAAAATGTAATCCGGGACTAGATAACGGCAAACTAAGGTTTGTGCATGGTTGTTGTTGTAAACGAGAACCGTATTCGAAATTTTTAAGAAATGTAAGAGGCCGGCTTAAAAGTTGTTTGCTAATTTTTTTTTCAGGTGTAAATAGTAAAGTTCCTAATGTATTCGCTCAACGTACATCACGAGTTGGCAAATTACGACAACCTTATTCGAAGACGAGAGCAACTTTTCTCACAAAACATTGGATCATCTATTAATATTTTCAACAACGTTATTAGTGGAGACGGAACGCTTATGGAAACAGCTATATTATTTTTTCTTAACACAACAGTAAATCTATCGCCCTTAGGCTTAGCCGTCTAATAAACAAATGTGACTTTACATTATACTACGAATACATAAAACAATATAAAAAATAAAGACAAGAACTGAGAAAACACCGTCTGTTGTCTTTTTTTTAGGAATTGTATTACTATTAGTATATATCATTGATCACATGCAGTACTTAATATATAGTAGTGTTTAGAAAAAATACTGACCAACGGTAGATACTATGTTTTAATGTGTGTTGTTTTTTATTCACCTAGTCCAATAGGTAGTTCTTCATCGGACGCATCATTCCTTAAAGTTTCATTGTCACCGTATGGAATGGTGTCTAATGAATCATCATC